AATGTAGTCTCATCTTTAGAGTAAGAGACCAGACGTGCTGACCTCTGACACCTCTCGACTCTATTAAGCAGCACAAGCAGGTTAAAAGTTTCATTTATCTGTTTTAACTCCTTAGACCAGGAATCAACAACGTCTGCAACAGATTTAAGGCGAGTACGGGCATGTAGCACTTTACATCATCATCTAATACTTTGGATGTCTTTACAAAACGTGCTGCCATCCACCAACATTCACTGCGTTGTACAAACGTTTCTCATCCAGCATCATTATCAGCACTGATTTACCGCACGCCCCGACTAAAGTCTCACCGCTGAATATGCAACCGACAGTCAACAAGTGTCATCCAGTCCAGATTTAAATGTCCTGCACTGAAACCAGCCTTTGTCCTGGTCTCTGAACATTTGATGATCATTTTTAATTTGAGTCTGACACAAAGACAGGAACATGAAAGTGTAAGGCCGGCCTGATGTGGAGCGTATTTGATGGGGTGTATTTCACATTTCAAATCCAAAAGTATGAGTCTGTTAATCTGCTTTCAGTTCAACACACAGTCAGTGTAGATCACGCTGATCCAACGTGAAAACCAATAATGCGTCACTTAGTTCTTTACCCAAGAATCTGTCTCATCAACATAGGGGGAATCTGTGCCACGCCCTGTTCCTGCGAAACCATAGAGGAAGTGGGTCATGTGACCGCACGTTTTTAAAGAGTCAACCCTTTCACTCATCCTGCAGAGAGGAGCGCCTCGTCGCACAAGAACGAAGCACATATAAGTTCAGAAACTTACTTTGAAAGGCAGAAAAATCAAACTTTTGTTTGTGTTTACAGAGGAAATGTTTTAGCGCTCTGTAAGCTCACTGTGAGTAACTCAAACAAGTCCAGACTCCTCAGACTGTGATGATGACATATTTAAACTACCTGTGATTGCTACTGTGACCTTTGCACACAAAACCAGATCCTACAGCTACACTGGATGGTCACACCGGGGGCAGGTTGTGCCATAAACCACTGTGTTTCGTATCCACAGCGATCGCTCCCACATGCACAACATCCTGAAATACATGTTTCAGTTGGAGTCGCTTTAAGTAAAAACCTGCACAGCACAGCCAGCTTTGATGTTTAACAATAGCTCCCTGACAAACCACACGAATCACACTGACACATGAAATATTTGGAACGTGGAGGAATCTGCTTCTACGGTCCGCATCGAGAGCTTTTAAATTCCACCGATGGACGTTGGGAACGACACAATGTGCGCTCTATTGTCCTTTCAAATATCAGCCGAGCGAGCTATGTGACCTTTCCTACAGCCAACATTAATTTGATCCATTACTCGTCAGGCAGGCCAGCGATTGTATTGTCATCCAGCACAATGTGTGTCCTCCTGCTTCATATAGCTACAATGACCAAACCAGTGGGCGTGGCCTCACATCTAGCTTTATTGTCCAAACTCACGCTTTGGTGAAGGGAACAAAACGTTCCTAGCTAGTTACACGGAGTTACATCCATGGGGCAGATTTGTTAATGACATGTTTCAGCATCGTACAGCACGGTGCACACAGAAGACGTATCCTCTTGAGTTATGCTAACATCATAAATTCTGCCCCAGCGTTACAGATGAACGTAACTTTTAAAGATTACAATCAGTGTTACAGAGTAAAGTGTTTTCCTGAGCAGATGAAGATCCGACAGGATTAAACCCCAGATTGCAAAGACACTTTTCTGCCTTTGAATCTTTGGAGGTGCACAAAGTGAGGGAGATGTTTCTGATGTGGTCCTTTCAGCTCGTGCTGTGTGCACACAAACCTTCCCACCTGCAGCCAATCAGAAACTCTGAAGAGCCAACAAAGCTAAAAAGGTTGTTTCCCTTGATGAACTTAGAATAAGAATAATTCCTGGAGTAAAAGCAGAGTAACATGTCAGAGTCCATTTGTCACTATTGTTTATGAACAGTAGCACATCTGTGGGACTGTCCCACTGCTGGACAGCATGTTGTGAGCAGACGTCTTATTTGCCTGAGCTCTGC